GCTCACTGCAACCTCCACCTCCTAGGTTCAAGCAATTCTCATGTCAGCCCCCCCAAGTAGCTGGGACTACAGGTGCTTACCACCACACCTGGCTAATTTTTGTGTTTTTTGTAGAAATGGGGTTTCACCGTGTTGGTCAGGCTGGCCTTGAACTCCTGACATTAGGTGATCCACCTGCCTCAGCCTCTTAAAGTGCTGAGATTACAGGTGTGAGCCACAGCACCTGGCCCTGCATTTCAGTTTTTTCTGGGGAAAGATCACCTCCTTGGCTGACGAGAGAAGATTTCACCTCAAATGAGGACACCCATGGCTACTATAGTTAGAGGCTTTTGGGGAATTACCTAGAATGGAGTTTTCCAGAAAAGGCCATGAACCAGGGTGTCCGCAGATGCTGAGGGTACTGCGTCTATGATTCTCAAACACTCACATGCCTAAGTGTTTGCCAGGAGCTTGTTAAATGCAGAATTCTTAGGCTGCCCACAGTGCTGCTGACCCGGCAGTTCTCAGCCTTGGCTGAAACCCCTGGGCAGCTTTGAAAATACTGGTGCTTGGGTCCCACCCCCAGAAATTTTGTTTATTTGCTTTGGGGTATGGCCTGGGCATGGGATTTTTCAGAGTTCCCAGAGTAAACTAATATGCATCCAGGTTGAGAACCACAGGCATGAAAAATGCCACTGTGGACTCTGATTCCTGTTCTGCTGTTCTTCTTGGAAAGTCTTCCTTTCCAATTTTCCTTCACATTCCATCAGCAGTGGAGCAGAAGAGACTTAGAACTCAGGGACCATCTAGTCCAACTCCCATAGTTCACAGACGAGGAAATCGAGGCCAGGAAGGGGAAGTGACCAGCCCAAGGACACATGGCTACTGCTGAGTCAGCCCCAGAGTGCAGCCGGCTCACTCTCTTGTGGTCCTGCTCCCATCATGTGGCCTGCTGGGGAACACAGGGAATTTTCTCTGAAGGAAAATGCTACGAAACATTAGAAATAAGGAATGATAATGACGATTCAGTCCTCTAAAGATCTTTAAACTTCTCCATTGATTTGTTGCTTCATACTGTCTTCTATATTTATAAAGTGGTGCTGGGTACCCAGTGGCAATGACTCATGTTCCTAATAGGCCACAGATTTACTAAAAATGGGTGTCTTCTTGTCCTTGACTCTTACTCTTAGGGACAAACTGGATTTGAGTTCTGATGGAAGGACTGAGCTTCCAGGGAAGTATTTTAGCAGTTGTTTGTTGCTTGCTTTCTTAAATCTCCATGGATATGTATATATCAGGTACCTCATATGTGTCAGGCTAATGCTTTTCGGTGTGCTTTAGTGAACTGGAAATGGGAAAGATCAGGGATTCCTGGACAAGTGACTCCTCAGCTAGCACTTTATTGAGGAAGAGGCCCTGCTATGCCCACTTCTCTGTGTGTAGGGGTGTGGGGGGTATGGGTAGGTTCTGCTAAGGGGGGCTGCTCCCCTGGGGAGCTCCACAAGGTGGTGAATATGTGCGTAGTTATCCTAGGGTGCGGCAAAGACTTGCCAGAGTTTTAATACCTGGTTTTTTTGGAGACCAAAAACTGATAATAGGAAAGTCATCCATGCGTCTCTGCCGTGAGAGTCAAGCTGCCTGTTTGCGTCATCCCAATGTCCTGGGGACATTTTTCTAATTTAAAAGTAAATGAAAATTTTTTGGGGGGCTGAAGCAGTGGCTCATGCCTGTAGTCCCAGGACTTTGGAGGCTGAGGCAGGACAATTGCTTAAGCCCAGGAGGTGGAGGCTACAGTGAGCTGTGATCATGCCACTGCACTCCAGCCTGGGCGACAGAGTGATATCTTGTTTCAAATAATAATAATAATAATAATAAAAGAAATTCTATGGGCCCCTAAAAGCATTGTGGGCCTCAGGCCCTGCAAGTCCTGTGCCTCCTGGGCAAGTCATCCCTGACAGGGGTGGAAGGAGACACCCAAGCTTGACCTCTGTGGCTCATGCTGCTAATGTGCCGGGGCACTGCCCATGGGCCATACAGAAACAGGCAGTGGGCTGGCCTTGGCCAGTGAGCCATAGTTTGCTGACCATTGTTCTAGGTGACCAACTTGCAATTAGCTGAGAGAATTTCTGTTGGGCTACAGGACAGCCAAGAAAAGACATGGTCATTCAAAGTGACTGGTGGTCACTACAGAGAATCTTTCCCTGGGGCCTAATCACCACCCTGTTCCCACACCCCTGTTTTTATCTTTTCACTTTGCAAACAGTAAAAAAGTGTACAGTTATTAAACATAAATGGCCTGTAATGCCAGCACTTTGGGAGGCTGAGATGGGCGGATCACTTGAGGTCAGGAGTTTGAGACCAGCCGTGGCTGTCATGGTGAAACCCCATCTATGCTAAAAAATACAAAAATTAACTGAGTGTGGTAGAGCAAGCCTGTAATCTCAGCTCCTTGGGAGGCTGAGGAGGGAGAATTGCTTGAGCCCGAGAGGTGGAGGTTGCAGTGAACCAAGATCACGCCTCTGTACTCCAGCCTGGGCGAGAGAGCGAGACTCCATTTCCCCAAAACAAACCAACCAACCACATAAGTGTATTACATAATGAATTATCACAAAGCAAACACCCATCCAGATCAAGAAATAGGGCATTCCTAGCACTTCCACAGGCCCCTCTCCCTGCACCTGAAGGAAGCTACGAAACTGACTTATCCCCTGTAAGATCAGTCTGTTAGGTTTATAACACTGCTCTTTGGCATCTGGGCTCTTTCAGGCCTGACCCTGTGTTTCTAGAAGGACTGAATGGAGTGGGCTACCACTCACAAGATCTCAGGGCCATGCTTTTCTCAGGAGATTGGTTCTCTTAGAGGGGCTTGACTGGAGGTGAGGAATGCCTGTGAGCAATCCAGCCAGCCAACCCAGGGGGCTCTGAGGACTAGAGAGAAAAAAGGTTTATTGATACCACAAAGCACCTAGTCACAAACACAGATGCTTTGTTAGAGGAACGCCACAAATGGAAAAGTAATAACTAGGAAACTAAGGAAGTTCCTCTAGACTGCAACCCTATTGTTTTGAAACTGATTAGCCCATAACTATTAAAAGGGAAAAAATTTATAGGGAAGGAGATTCAACATGCTTTATGTTTGAGTGTGAGTCAAACCTTCTAACTGCAGCTTGCCCCCACAGTTCAGGGCTGCCATGTTATAGCCATGAAGACTATGCACTGCGCAACTCTTGCAAGCACCATTCACACAGAATACAACGTGAATGGTGCCCTGTGGAACTGCATGGTGAGGCAGTCCTGCCAATATTAACAGAATCAGTTGCCTAGATCCAGGCCATGCTTTAACTTACAATGTTTAACTTCATCAGTTATACATGTTTGGGTAAAGGACTCTTTAGGTGGGGAGAACCTCTGCCTCCCGGGTTCCCGTGATTCTCCTGCCTCAGCCTCCCCAGTAGCTGGGATTACAAGCACACACAACCCCACCCAGCTAAGTTTTTGTATTTTTAGTAGAGATGGGGTTTCACCATGTTCCTAGGCTGATCTCGAACTCCTGATCTCAAGCAATCTGCTCACCTCAGCCTCCCAAAGTGCTGGGATTATAGGCATGAGCCACTGTGCCCAGCCAAGGCTCTTCTTTTTTCTTTTTTTAAATATTTATATATTTCTGAACCAGACTCTCATTCTGTCACCCCATCTGGACTGCAGTGGCATGATCACGGCTCGCTGCAGCTTGGACTTTCCAGGTTCAAGTGATCTTCCTACCTCAACCTCTGGAATAGCTGGGACTATAGTGGTGTAGCTAACTTTTTAAGCACAGCTGATTTTTAAAATTTTTTAGTGACAGGGTCTTGCTTTGCTGCCCAGGCTGGTCTCAAGCTCCTGGCCTCAAGCAATCCTCCCACCTCAGCCTCCCAAAGTGCTGGGATTACATGTGTGAGCCACTGCACTGGCCTTCCCATTTTAAATATGAGACTAGGCATGGAGAGGTTATCATGCCCAGGGTGGTGCAGCAAGCAAGCAGCAGAGCTGGAGTGGAACCCAGACAGCCCATGGTCCTCCCTGCTACATGGTCTGTGCTATTCAGACACGATTTAAAGTTCCTTTGAGAACTTTAGCGGCTTATCACATCCATGCTCCTTCTGATCCCCTGTGAAGAGATGGTTTGAGACTGTAGAACTGCTCCTTTTGATTTGGTTACATCAGAAAACTGACTTACCAAGTACAAATCCCAACCTCCAAACACCCTCTACAATAGAGAATCAAGGAAACCACACTCCAGGGTAAGAATCCAAATTGTTATTCCCAGCAGGCCCTATCGGGCCCCTGATCAGTGTGAACTCTCTTCTCATCCTTTGGGGCTTACCCAGAAATGAAAACCGGTTCCTGTATTACATGAAGAGCTGGACGTGTTCAGGTCAGAGAGGGGATCCGTTTCTTCAGAGGCTTCCACTCTGTTTGCAGGATAATCCTATTATAGGAGGTGTCTAGATTCCCTAATAGTGCTGGAATGTGGTATCATTGAAAACAGGATTATATAAATGCATGGGCCGGGTGTGGCAGTGCCATAATAGAGGCATGGGCAACTGCTCTCTTTCAGGGACTTTCCCAGTAATTTAAGGGCCTGGGGCATTCTTCCTGTTGTTCCCACTTGATGCTTGCCTTATAGTAGATGTTCAGTTAAGACCTGTTGAGCTAGTTGTTCTGACAAGACATAACTTTATATAGGTATGTGGCAAAACCACACACTTTTTGCAAGAGCCCTGCTGGTGTGGAGTGGGGAGCCCCTGAGTAGCCTGATGCTTCCCAGTTGCAAGCCGGTGGCCACAGAAGAATCAGCGATAGCAGCTTCAGTGCTGCCCACTGAGCCTGGCTGCCCTGCCTCAGGGGGGCTTGCCTGATGAAAGGAGCAAGGAAAACAAATCCCTTTAGTCACCCAAAGCCCATCTCCTAGAAGAACAACAGCTCCTCCATTGGCAAGTGCCACTTCAACACAGGAGAGGGGAATAAAGGAACTGCAGGTCCCGGTGGAAACATTGTATTCATTTCTGAGGACTGTGCTATATTTTAAGGCAATTGTCACATGTACAAAACAGTCAGATGAACAGTATCCGAACAGATTTATGACAACATGTTAGAAAGAGAACAGCAGGGGAAACGTTTTCAGACAAGGAGATGTGAGATTTTCCCCAGTCAGGTAACCCCAGGTCTACCAACTCTGTTCTGAAAGCCAGGAAGACACATGGTACATTCTCTCTTTTTGCCTCCAAGGGGAAGGGCCACCCTTCTAAGACCATGCTTCTTACTGCAGGACCAGGCCAGGATACGATGGTTGGCCAATGAGTCTCAAGTCCAGCTCTAATTTCATGTTTTACGGCTTTGTGAAATTCATCTTTAGGAACGGGAAAATCAAGATACCAAAGACATACAACTTGTAGTTATTAGTTAAGTTCACCTCTCTCCAAACACAAACTTGTTGGGCTTGAAGCTAAAACAATATATACACACATGTATACACAACACACACATATAACACATATGTGTGTATAGATGTGTGTGTGTGTGTGTGTGTGTGTGTGTGTATGTGAAAGAAGAAAAAGATTTACTGAAGCCTGAAAAATAGTGTTCATTTGCCATCTGGAATCAAACAATGTGATTGTTTCCCCTTGAAAACAGAAGAGTAGGCCAGGCGCGGTGGCTCATACCTGTAATCCCAGCAGTTTGGGAGACCGAGACAGGCAGATCACAAGGTCATGCGTTCGAGACCAGCCTGACCAACATGGTGAAACCCCATTTCTAATAAAAATACAAAAATTATCTGGGCGTGGTGGCCTGCAACTATAATCCAAGCAACTCAAGAGGCTGAGGCAGGAGAATTGCTTGAACCCAGGAGGCGGAGGCTGCAGTGAGCTGAGACCGTGCCACTACACTCCAGCCTGGGTGACAGAGCAAGACTCTGTCTCAAAAAACAAAACAAAAAAAAACAGAAATGAGCAGCAGGCTCTACCCAGTGGGGAAAAGTTTCCAGTTTCCTCTACATGGTTCCTGGTCCCTCCTGGCTTCACAGGAGACTGAATGGCTTAGCTGGTTTAAAGAGAGCTGAGCTTTCCCCTTGGCTGGCTCAACTCTGTGTCCCCTTTCCTTCACCCCTTCTGCTCAGGCACATATCCCCAGTTTTAAGAAGGGGGTGTGGCTTGATGATCTCAGTTCCATCCACCCATTCTCAGTGGTACACACAACCATTAATGTGTGCCCCCGTCTGTAGGGCCCAGGTGACACAGCAACAGGGAAAACAAGGGAATGAAGCGCTTGTTCCCTGGGGCGCTTTAATGGCCTGTTACAGGGTAGCAGAAACAGTGCCTGGGTCTGAGAGTCACAGCGAAGTCAGGTGCCCAGAACTGTGGTGGAAAGTGGGGTCACTAGTTCATGAAAACTTGAAGGACATGAGGAAGAGGCTGCGTTTGATGCTAACTACACACAGAACAAGTGGCATAGATAAAAGTCCTAATGCGCATAGAGAACAAAGCTCTGCTCAGAAAGGCTGTCCTCACCAGCAGAAGGACTGGGTAGAGAAGGCTGCCCCTTACACAAAAAAGAAGAGCATACTGGGTCGGCACTTGATAGCCAAGAAGTGAAATGGTCATTTTCACAGATTAACAGTTTGCCTCACCAAATCCCTCTGAGGTAGGTAAGAGGCAGGTGATATTAGCCCCATCTTACAAATGGGGTAAAGTGAGGCCCCAGGACCTGTTACATCATGAATATGTGTCAACAACCACAGTCAAACAGTAGGTTCTCAGATCTTCCCTCTCACTGGTAAACTCCTCTATGAAAGCCCCTTACTTAGATTAGAAGATTAGAACATCAGCAGGTAACTGGAAAAACGTGGACCATTTCACTGATAATTTTAAATGTGGAGGTACTGGCAAGAAAGGGATCTATATTTTGAAATCAGCCAAATCCAGGGGGCCTGGGAATCTGTGAATGGGGGTGCCCCACTCCAGTTAGTACATGGTTTTCTCTGGGGTGGTGGCTATTGTTTTTGCTTCAGTGCAGCATTTTACAGAGTCCAGTTGAATTCAAATAATAGATTGATAAACCAACAAGCGTCCTGGATATGACTACATCACACTTCCCCAGGGAAGGAGGGCCCTCTCTGGCCTGTTGCCAAATCAGAGTGAATGGAGATAAAGCTACAGTGTTGTCAGAGGCCCAGGCCTCTGGAAGGAGGGAGAAAAGTGCCCTAGGACTGGATGAGAACTGGGACAACTGTGTGTGAAACCTGTCCTGTCCTGATTAGAGAACGCTCCGCTCCCCCCACCCACCCCCACAAAGCTGCATTTCCTCTCCTTTTTTCTTTGACCTCAGAATCTAAGATGTTTACCTAAGGCTGTGGACCAGAAACCCGCCTCCCCACCACAGTGCTAACACCCACCTGGAGAATTTCTAACTTGACGCTGTACGGCACCTGCAGTCTCCCAGAACCCAGGGATCGGAAGACACCCACAACTAGCTGTAGCACAAACTCTTTAAACACCTGAGTCCCAGCTCAGCAAAGTCCAGCTAAGAATTTGGGTATTTTTTCAATTACTACAACTCGAGGCAATGCAATAGGTGACTATACCCCTTGGTTTGCTTAGAAAACACCTGATGCAGAGCTGACCGGGGACAGTGAAATACATCTGCATTTTTCCAAGGTGTAACCACAGGACCCTGTGAGTCCATGGTTTCTTGAGCCTGGCAGCTCAAGGGGTCCAAACAGATCCCTGGTGTACACACAGCTGCACCTAGACATGGATTAAGCCAAATGTCAGAGTGTCCTGGTCCTTGGTAACCAGTTCCTGCTGGGGAGCCCGAGGCCAGTGCCGAGAGGTAAGCCTCAGGCCAGCGACTGAGCCAAAGCATTGCTTGGGAGATTAAAAGTTGGCAAGGGCAGTGCCCTGTGTCCACGACTGGAGGCTGGGTAAACAGGGTGGGACACCACTGCTGGCAGGCAATCCCAAAGCCCAGCCCCCTCACAGAACCGACTCCTTGGATTCCAGTTCTGGGGCACTGGCCACGGGGCCAGGGGGATTCTGGTGTGTCACCAGGGGTGATGTCTCCTCCTCAGACTTGCAGTTGGGGATGGCTTCCACTTTCACCTCAGCCAGTTCCTGCTCGCCTTTCTTCGTTGCCTTCTGATTCAGGTGGTGGAGAATGCCCGCGCCCAGGGCATCCCCTTCCACATTCACCACAGTGGTGGTACGATCCCTGGTGGGGAAAGAAGAGGCCCAGCTATTATATCGAATGCTGGGGGATCGGGTCCTATCACAGGTAGCCGGGGTGCCAAGGGGAAGTCTTGGTGGTGAGGGCCCTGTTGCTTCCTGGAGAGCATGCTTCTAAGGCATGGGCTTTACCTTACGCTAAATTGATTTTCTTTAAACACTTTTTATAAAAAGAATAAAAAAGAGCATAAAGAAGCAAACAAGTCACTCACCCTCAATCCAAAACTGAGTGAATCTATATGCACATTTTAATCTATATCCTTCTAGTCATCTTTCTATACATGTATTTTATATGTATTAGACAACATCATTGAAAATTATACACAAGCCAGGCACAGAGGCTCATGCCTGTGATCCCAGCACTTTGGGAGGCTGAGATGGGAGGACTGTTTAAGGCTAGGAGTTTGAGACCAGCCTGGACAACACAATGAGATCCTATTTCTACAAAAAATAAAAGAATTAGCTGGGCATGGTAGTGCGTGCCTGTAGTCCTAGCTACTCAGGAGGCTGAGGTGAGAGGATTGCTTGAGTCCAGGAGGTTGAGGCTTCAGTGAGCTATGACGACGCCATTGCACTCCAGCCTGGACCACAGAGTAAGACCCTGTCTCTAATAAGTAAACAAACAAACATACATATTGGGATAACTGTGGATATGGTTTTGTGTCTAGCTTTTCTTCCACTGAGTATTACACTGTGGGAGTTTCCCTTCTTTTTCTCATTTCAACGCTGCTTTACTGCTGGATGTTAATCTTCATATATGTTCCATTGCCATTGGCAAATATAATCACATCTCAAGGAAAATATCCTTTCCAGAAGCTAACTTCTTGTGCTATAGATTAGCCAATACCATTCCCCTGCCCCTGGAGCTCAGAGAAAGTATTGTGCGCATTTTGAAGAGAGGGGAAAACGTGATCTTCCCTGAGGGCACTGGAGAGCTGACTCCCTGCAGATTGCGGTCCGGCTGTCTGCAGAATCAGAGGTGATGGGGTGGCTGGCAGGCCTGTATGACTTCAGGACTACTGGGCAGCTGGCTTGGTGCCCTATTTCCCTATTTCTGGCCAAGCACCTCTTGGATGCCTCTTCATGCACAGGAGGTGGCTGGGTGAGGAAGGAGAGGGGCCTCTGTCAGCTCTGGTCCTATCCAGCTGGCCAGCTCAGGGACACAGTTCCCTCTGATGAGGTGTCTGGGCAATGCGGGTCTCTTGCAAATTTCACTCTCATTGCTCTGAGACGCCCCTTCAAGTTGGAAAACCCACCATTCCCACCCACAGCTGGCCCATCCACGAGCCCAGAGCCAGGCTGTAGGGTTCAGGTTCTCTTACTCCTGCCTGTGACAAACCTGGTCTGGAATGACTCTTTGCTAACATGAATTGAATGTTTTACCACATGCCCATTATTCTGTGTGCTGTTCCCATGTTAATTCGCTCAGTCTTCCCCACAACCCCAGTGTGGCTGCTCTCATCATTCCCATTTTGACAGATAAGCAGACCAAAGCACAGCGCAGTGCAGTTCCACAACTACTAATGGCAAGCTGGGAATTGAGCCCAGGACCCTGGGTTCTGGGGCTCATTCTCTTACTCACAGACTCCACTGGCTCAACATTAGTACCTCAGCCAACCTTTCCTATAAAATAGGTATTATTTATGCCTGCAAAAGATATCACGTGACTCAAGGAATCAACGCACAGAAACTGTTTTGTGTCTTCACAGCAGCCCTGGAGATGTGGTCTGGATCACCCCTTCTTCCCTACCTCCTCCTCTGCTGAGCCCAAGCCCAAGTACTCACATTGGCATGGTTCATCCTCTCTCCCCTCACAGAAATCACTCCTTAGAATTTTCAAGGCCAGGGACAATCATTCCCAAAGGATCACTGAGCCATTGACTTATTACTCCTATGCAGCCAGCAACCCCACATACCCTCATGTCTCCTGGGCCTGTGCAGAGGGCCTCAGCTGTGGCCCCTACTTTACTGGATGCTATAAGCAAGTTCTTGGTAATGACATCTCATGGTCATTCCTGGATGTTCACGGGCATGTGACTCTCATATTACTTCATTTTTCCTACCTCTAAATCTTGCCCTGCCAGCTCCACTGTAGGCTCCCTCACAAGGCTAGCGTGTATCTTAAGTTTCTATGCATGCCCCAGGCCTAGCAGTGTCAAGCTCCTAGGGAACTCAATGCAGACTCTTTTTGGTGTTCTTAGGACTTGTTACTTACACAATCCAGTCCACAGCCAGGATCAGAGACAGGTCATGAGTAGGCAACCCAATGGCCTCCAGGATAATGGCAATGGTGAGGACCCCTCCAGCTGGCACACCTGCTGCTCCAACACTGGACGCTGTGGCGGTGACTCTAGGGGATGGCAGAGCAGGGCCAGCCATTAACATAGAGCATGGAGTGGGCACAGAGAAATGCATACCATGCAGCTGCAGTGTGGCTGGAACTGAAAACAACCCCACCATGGGCTCTGCTGGCTGCGCCCTTGAGAGCCAACACACACTCTTCAAGTAATGAATCCCCACTGTCCTCATTTTCCTAACGAGACACCAAGTTGTGGTGAGATTAGTTTTTCAAAGGAAATCACGAGAAAAACCTTCAGTTTTGAGTCAGGGAAAGAATGAAGAACTTACAGAATGGTGAAAATCTGCCCTGCATTGAGCTCTACGTTGTTAAGTTGGGCGATGAACACCGTGGCCACACACTGGAAGATGGCTGCTCCGTCCATGTTCACAGTGGCCCCGATGGGGAGAATAAACCTGCTGATCCTCTTGTCCACACCATTGTTCTCTTCGATGCACTTCATCATGGAGGGAAGGGTCGCTGAGCTAGAAATAGGGAAATCAGACCGCCAGACATGACAACAGTCCCAGCCAGGCTAACACATGACTCATCTCAGATCCCAGAACAGAGCAATTAATACCATCTTCATTTCTGGCTTTCTTCTCTTAAGGGAAAAAACAGAATCACTTTAAAACTTCTGTCACAACACGAGGCTTTGGTAATTCCCAAAGTATTGAAAATAGGATTTACCGGTTCTATTATTTACCTGGATTCACATGTTCCAAATTTCTTAAGAACTGCATTGCCTCCTGGTGCAAAATCTTCCCAAGAGAACAAACACCCATTTACTCTGATGTGCATCTCCTCTCTTGAATACTCCCCTCCCAAGAGTAAATGTTAAACTATGATTTTGTTTTCCTTTGTCTAGGCCAGAGGAACTTCTCTTCCTCATTTTTTTTAACCCCCACTTCCTTGTTACATAAATAGCCATCCAGATTGGGAGGAAGTGAGCAGTATAGGCAAAACTAAATGTGTGAATGAAACGACGTGCTGCCATCCTTTGAAAGTTTTAACATATTTGGAAAACCCAATTTTTTTTTAAGGTTTTCCAGTGAAAGGATGCATCTCTTGTGCTAAATTAGATAATTCCACACTATTGTGGACTCCTAGAAGGCTGAGCATGCAACTGTCACCACGGTGCCTCAGACTCGTTTTCTAATCCACACATCCAGAAAAGGAGAATTGGGCAGAAACGATTCTCGCAATTTTCCTGCAATGCATTGTGAGTGAGGTGGGCTGCCTTCTTTCATTCAGGCAAAGGTCTTCCTAATTAGAGTGAAGGACCTGGAACTGGGCTAACTAATGATCTGCTGCTAAGGAGCAAAAGGGAGAAGAGAATGAGGTAACTTCAGTAGAACAGGAAATGAAACAGAAACCCCCCCCAGGGGAATACAGAAAAGCTGTGGGGCTAGTGATTTTAAGAAATCATGTGAGGCTCGGTAATCCCAGCTATTTGGGAGGTCGAGGTGGGAGGATCACCTGAGCCCAGAAGTTTGAGATCAGCCTGAGCAATCATGGGAAGATCTTGTCTCTTAAAAAAAAAAGCATCGCAAAAGACTAATTTAGAGTTTTTCGGGAATTAAAGTATGTCAAGGTGCTGGTTGTGCATCTACCACTGGGCTCACCTGGTTCTATATTCTTATGGCTCAGAGTAGCAAAGAGATCCAAAACCTACTCACCTGGAGCAGGTGGCAAATGCTGTCGCAAATGGGGCGAGGAGGCCCAGGAGGAATCTGAAGGGGTTTCTTCGTGTGAAAACAAAATAAACAAGTGGCAGAACAATTCCTCCGTGAATAACATGGCCCAATATAGATGCGAAGATGTATTTCCCCAGGCTGGTCACCAGCACGATGATGTCTTTCATTTCCACAATCTTGCTTCCAACAAGGAACATGATGCCCACAGGTACGTACCTAGGGCATAAGCACAGGGTACTCATCAGTAGGGGCTAAGGTTGGGGTGAGAGATGCAGACCCTTCCAGATGCAGAATGTGGGGACTTTCGACGAGGCTGTCTTCATCTCTCCCTATTATAACCCTGAGGAACTGAAACGGTCAGGGTTATACCATCTCCATTTTACAGGCTGCGAGACTGAGTAAAATGAGGATGACAGCTCACCGTGGGTAACAGAGGTAATAGAGTCAGGATCAGAACCCAGATGTCTTTTCCCTTGGATACAGCATGTCCTTAACAGAAGGGTGCTACCAGTCACAGGAATTCCCAGGAGGAAAGGCAAGAAAATTGAGATCGAAGCCTCCAGGACTGTGAGCTTGAGTTCTTGGCTTTGCTCAGGCTTGTTCCGAGAACTTAGAAACACAAAAGACTAACACCTATTTTACAGAGTGGCTGTGATACAAAATTGAGCCAAAGCTAGGACTTTTGTGAAGGTTTAAATTCTTTGTGGCTTAGACAACATGACTCCGTGGGAAAAAATCACTCACAATGACACTCTGGGAACATGCCTGGAGCGTGAGAGTTTTTTAAAGGCAGGATGGGAAGGAATGAATTGTGGGAGCTACAAAGAACAAAAGTCAGTTGTTTTGAATTGATACAAATTCAGGAAGAATTTTCTAACTGTTGACTTTATTTGTAAATTTTAATTGTGTAGGTAATAATATCACATAGTTTGAATTTCAAGGGGTACAAAAGAGTGAGTAGAGGACAGTCTCCCTCTCATCTGTCTCCCAAGCACCCAGATTTCCCCTTCCTGGAGACAGTCAATGTCACTGGTTTCTTGAATTTTCTTTCTGGAGATATTCTAAGCAGTCATTATTAATTAAAAACCCGACAGTAATACAAGAATACATTCCCTTTCAAAAACTTAAAACATAGACGACACCAAAATTCTCTTTCAGCACCATCCTCCAGCCAGTCCCCTCCTCGGACAACCACTCCTACCTCCTATGCAATTAGATACATACGTATTTAAATCTGTGTGTTTATTTCTTTTTCACCCTATGTCTTTTAAATCTTTTCATATCAGTACATAGAAATCTACCCCATTCGTTTTTATTGTGGTGAAATCTGCATAACATAGAATTGACCATTGTGGCCATTCTTCAGTGTAGAGTACAGAGGCACGAAGTTCATTCACATTCTTGTGCAACTATCATCACTATCCAAGTCCAGAACTTTTCCATCATCCTAAACTTTGAAATCCTTCAACATAATGACCTATTTTCCCCTCCTCTCAGCTCCTGAGAACCACTATTCTATTTCTTGGCTCTCTAAATTTGACTGTTCTAGGTACACAAAGGTGGAATCATACAATATTTGTCCTTTTGTGTCTGGGTTATTCTACTTAGTATGATGTTTTCAGGCTTCATCCACATTGGAGCATGAACACTCCTTTCTAAGGCAGAATCATGTTCTATTGCATGTATACATCCCATTTTGTTTATCCATTCATCCACTACCAATGTTTGGGTTGGGGTTGTTTCTACCTTTACTTCATTGTCTTTAAATATTGTCTTCAGAATGGAAATACCATAGGTTATTTTGTCATTGTCTTGCTGGTGGACATTTAAGTTGTTCCCAGGTTTATCATGACAAACAACACTGCAAACATGGGCCTTGTTGTGCCTACATGCCTTTGTTCTCTAGGTAGAGATGCTAAGAAGTGGAAATGCCGAGTTATGGGGTGTGCACATTTTAAATTTCAGTAGATACTATGCGACTGTTCTCCAAAGCAGCTATTCCATATCACATTCCCACCAACAGTCCAGGAGAATAATCTTCCTTCTGCAACAGTTGTTCTTATCCAGGGATGATTTTGTCTGGAAGACAGTTTGGTTGTCACAACTTTAGGAGCATGGTGCTAGTGGCACAGAGCAGGTGGGGGCCACGATGCTGCTAAACATCCGACAGTCACAAGACAGCCTCCCACAAAGACTGTCTCACATCAAAGCTGTCAAAAGTGTTATGGTTGAGAAACCTTGACCCAAAATGTCAAAAGTGTCATGGTTGAGAAACCTCACCCTCAGCCCTATCAATGCCTGATAAAACCAAATTTTCATTTCCCTTATTTCTAATGAGGTTGGGTCTCCCTTAAAATATTTACTGGTCATTCAGGTTTCACATGCTTCCATTTGCTAATAGTTTATTCAGTGATTTTTCTTTCTCAGTAATCAGAACTCTTTATTTCTATATATACAGTATGCAAATATATACCAATTTTTAGAAATGAATGTCTTGACTTTTAACTTTGTTCAGAGTGTCTTTTGCATGTAAACTTTTTATATTTTGATGTGGTTAAGTTTAGCAGCTTTTTATGACTTTTGCTTTTTATATCTTGTTTAGGAAGACCTTCCCTGCCTCTATATTTTCTTCTAATATTTTTAGAAGACTCTTCTCTTTCTTTTCTTCTTTTCTTCCTTCCTCCGTGGTGAGTTTAATCCAGGAGTTAGCAGCGTGAGTCTTTGTAAATAAAGTTTATGGGAAATTAGCCATACTCTTTCATTTATGAATTGTGAACAGGTACTTTTCCCCTCCAACGGCAGAGTTGGGTAGTTGCAACAGAGACCATGTGGCTTGCAAAGTCTGCTGACCCTGGGTTTAATACATCTGAAAGTTATTTCTGTGAGTAGTGTAGGGTAGGCAGGTACTTGAGTTTCAGAGCAGGTTGTTAGTAAAGGAAAGAATGCAGAAAGTGGTAATACTGAAGAAGCCTCCCACACGTGGTTGAGGTCCCTTTACTAGTTAAGCCATTTTAAACTCCAATTCTGTATAATATGCATTTCTGAGCAACAGGTCTCTTGCTCTCTTGCTGCAGTTAGACACTTAGCAGGATCTGCCTAACTGAATATCTGCTTATGTGACTGGTACATCAAATTGCAGGAATGACTAAATTGGTTTCCAGATTAAAAGCAAATATCCTCACATGGGAGTATCAGTGATATGGTTTGGATCTGTGTCCCCACCAAAATCTCATATTGAATTATAATCCCCCCTCCCACTCTTTTTCTTCCTCCTGCTCTGGCCATGTGAAGACATGCCTGCTTCCCCTTCCCCTTCTGCCATGCTTGTAAGTTTCCTGAGGACTTCCCAGTCACGCTTCCTGTACAGCCTGTGGAACCATGAGCCAATTAAACCTCTCTTCTTTATAAATTACCTAGTTTCAGGTATTTCTTTATAGCAGTGTGAGAATGGACTAATACAATCAGTTTCCTTTTTTACTTTTAAATTTAATTTAATTGTTTATATTTTGTAGAGATAGGGTCTCAATTTGTGGCCCAGGCTGATCTTGAACAACTGAGCTCAAACAATCCTGCAGCCTTGGCCCCCCAAACTGCTGGGATTACAGGCATGAGACACTGCACCTGCCTCAGTTTCTATTCTTTAGTCCAAACTTTGGAAAATATTAATATTTTGGACCTTTAAAAAGCCAAGAAAAGAACTTGACATCTAAAAACCTTTTCTTTTCTGAAAATATCAGTTATCGCCCAGAACAACAATCACATGAAGTGGCCTTGGCAATGATAGAGCCAGGCTCTGGAATTTTCAGATTGAGCAAGATAAACACCACTGGTAGGGGGTCTAAACTTAGCCTCCCATTCAATTTCAAACTTCTAAAATCAGTCCAGCTGTCATCTAGCACCATCTGAGAGAGAGAAGTTCTGGAATCTTTAAGAGTTGGCAATAAGGAAAATGTTCTGTGCATGGAAGGAGAAACTAGTTCTTAACAATTAAGTAGAAGCTAAGAGCCACAGAGGTCTGGTTTGGGTAAAACAGCAGGATAAAGCTTATGAGAGACTGGTACTGGAATTGGTATGATTTCTGAGAAGTTGCTTAGAGGGAGCAGGTCAAATTTTTACCTTTTAGCCAAGAATCAATCTAAGAATTGTTACTTAACAAACATGCTTTCATTGATATTACACAAAGAAACATTTGCAAATTAAAAACCTACATAAAAGGGCTGGGTGCAGTGGCTCACACCTGTAATCCCAGCACTTTGGGAGGCCGAGGTGGGTGGATCACCTGAAGTCAGGAAGGAGTTTGAGACCAACTTGGCCAACATATATGGTGAAACCCCATCTCTACTAAAAATACAAAAAATTAGCTGGGTGTGGTGGTGGACACCTGTAATCCCAGCTTCTCAGGAGGCTGAGGCAGGAGAATTGCTTGAACCCAGAAAGTGGAGGTTGCAGTGAGCTGAGATTGCACCACTGCACTCCATCCTGGGCAACAAGAGCGAAACCCTATCTCAGAAAAAAAAAAAAAAAGCCTACATAAAAAAAGACCATTCCAACTTTATATATGCATGGGGTGAAAATGGACTTGCCCTCCATGCTGTGAACTACTATAAGTATGGGTCCCTTTGAAGCTTGAAGTCTATCATTTTCAGATAAATGAAACTTATTTCGTGCAGCAGATAGCAAACTGATGGAATTCACTGCCCCACAAGATGCATGGGCAACCCACATTATCTGGCTGGCAGTAGGAACCCATAAACAGATCCTGGTGATGGAAACACCAAGGGATTAGTGTGGACACTGAGGAAATGACTGGCAACTACAGGGTATGCCTGGCTCCCTGAGGTCCTGGACAAGAGGAGAAACTGTCTCTATTTCCATCATTCCCTATACCATGCCTGGCCCATGGTGCATCAACCACATATACAGCACTGTGTCAGGTGGCCCCACACAGGTAGCTAGAACAGCGAGGTGGACTCTCTTTTGGATGGCAGGAGGAAGGAGTGAAAGAGCAGACGGCAGGGCAGCACTCACCACATAATCCAGGACACCAGCACCATTGTCGCCTCATTAAGGGAATTGAAGAAACGGATGAGGTCTTCTCCTTCAGAGCCTAGTTTCTTTAAGGCCACTCCTAACACCAGAGCAAACAGGACCAATCCTAAAATGTTCATCCCTTCAATCTCAGTGCCCATGGGGATCTGCAGGATCAGAAGAGACAGGACAAGTTTATAACAGATGAATGAGAATTAAAGATGCATTTGCTTTGTGTCCCCACCAGACTGAAACGTGCCCAGAATGAGAAAAGGCTCATATTTTCTTTAACCATTAGCAATTCTGCAAATAAAGGGGTAGGAAACTCAACGGGAGATGTATTCTGAGGATACATAAAGTCAACAAGCAAAAATTTCATCTAGTTGTTAACTCTGAAAGCTGCTGGAAATTGCATACATTAAAGTGGAAGGTAGTGGGCTCCCTGTCATGGGGATATATTCAAGTAGGGGTTAGAGAGCCACCTAAAAGGTCTGCTTTTAAAAGGAGAGCTGGTTAGTCAAAAGTTCCTTCAAGTGGGGCATGGTGCCTCACACCTGTAATCCCAGCATTTAGGAGGCCGAGGCAGGTAGATCCCCTGAGGTCAGGAGTTTGAGACCAGCCTGCCCAACATGGTGAAACCCTGTCTCTACTAAAAATATAAAAATTAGCTGGGCTAGGTTTATTTATTTATTTTGTAGAGACTGGGTCTGTACAAACTGGTCTCGAACTCCTGGGCCCAAGTGATTCTCCCAACTCAGTCTCTCAAAGTGCTGTTATTATAGACATGAGCCATTGGTACCTGGCCAAGACTTCTGAATATCACTATTCTCTCCCGGGACTTGACCTATTGAAGCTGGGTGCAGTGGGTATACCTGAAAGCTGTGGGAGAGAGACAACTTGGGGGATTTAGTGCTGGCTCTACTACTGGCCTACTAGGATTCTATGAGCTGGATGGCTAACATGTGGTGTTGACCTTGGGGCTGTCAACTCACACTTTTTGATACTGTCCCAAGTCCTAACTGAAATTGAGGGTCAAGATTCAATGAAACCAGAGAATTCAATTATTATTTGAAAGTTGGTTTTAATATCACATGTTCTCATATGAGGGAGCTAAAAAAGTGGATCTCATGAAGACAAAGAGCAGATTGGTGGTTACTAGAGGCCAGGAAGGGTAGTTGGGGGGAAGGGGACAAAGAGAAGTTGATTAATGGATACAAATGTACAGGTTGATAGAAGAAATAGACCTAGTGTTTGATAGATCAGTAGGATGACTGTATTTTACAATCATTTATTTAAAACAGCTAGAATAATTCTAATATTTCTAGCATAAAGAAAAGACAAATGTTTAAGGTGATAGATATTGCAAGCACACTGATTTGATCTTTACAAATTATATGAATTTTTACATTATCACATTTAACTCCAAACTATGTACATCTATTATGCATCAGTGAGAAAAGTGTTTTAAGATATAAAAAAGAAAGCCGGTTTCAGCAGGTCTGCAATGCCAAGGTGTGGTGTTTGAGGTCAGACAGATTCCAGATTTGGAACCAACTCTGAGATCTGAGGACAATTACAATAATTTTTCCAATGAAATGACTCCCTTTCTGTAGAGGAAGCTGGTGGCACGTGGGTTTGCAGTGAGGTATGCTGGCTGTTACATACCTGGGCAAACTTAGCATTGACTGGGGCTAGCGGACTACAGACACAACCAGAGCTGCAGCCCAGGCAGTCTTGGTGGTGTATCATGCAGATTCTGTTTCTGCTGCCTCCACCACTCTTCCCCCACGTCTCCCCATAGCTCCTCCCTCACCTTATCAGAAGACCTCCCTGACCACCCTGCTTTAATTTTCTTCTTGACTCCTATCACTGGCTGACATATACTTATTTATTACATGATTCCCTCCACTAGAACATGAGCTCTGTCAGAGCAGGGCTTTGACTATACTGAGCACTACTAGAGTCCAGCACCTGGGAAGGCACCTAGCTATTAACAACGAAATCACTGTTTAATAAATTAATGATTCAACTAAAGCCTAGGAAGTCTGTGGCAAGTATTACATGGGATCGAAGTGGGCATGGAAGAGCAGGCACCCTTCCAAGTGTCCTTGAGCCTCTGGGTCCTTGATTGATTTCTTTTTAGAGACAAGGTCTCCCTGTGTTGCTTGCTAGAATACAGTAATCTCAAACTTCTTGGCTCAAGGAATCCTCTCAGCCTCCCAATTAGCTGGTACTACAGGCAAATGCCACCACACTTGGCTAGTATAGAAAAAAAATTTTTTTAGAGGTGGGGATCTCACTATGTTGCCCAGGCTGGTCTCAAATTTCTAGCTTCAAGCAATCCTCCCACCTCAGCCTTCTGAGTCACTGAGATTACAAACATGAGTCACCATGCCTGGCTAGGTCCTTGACTTTTCATTCTGTCACCAACATCCCATCCTTGGAGGCAAAGCCCACACCTGCTATGCCTTTACATAATCTTCTCACCACAGGATTTAGGAAAGCCTGGAACCAGCGAGGACACACTGCTCCTTTTTTTAAAATTTTTTAATTAATTTTTAATTAATTTTTTTAAGATGGAGTCTCACTCTGTTGCCCAGGCTGGAGTGCAATGTTGCAATCTCGGCTCACTGCAACCTCTGCCTCCAGGGTTCAAGTGATTCTCCTGCATCATCCTCCCAAGTAGCTGGAATTACAGGTGCCACCACTACACCCTACTAATTTTATATTTTTAGTAGAGATGCGGTTTCACCATGTTGGCCAGGTTAGTCTGGAATGCCTGACTTCAGGTGATCCGCGCGTCTCTGCCTCCCAAAGTGCTCGGATTACAAGTGTGAGTCACTGCACCTGGCCTCTTTCTTAAAGCCTGACTCCTTAAATGCCTGGGTGAAATTTACAGAGGAGGCAAGTGTATGTCAGCTGAGGTAGATGCTCACAGGTCACCAGTATTCCCAGTGGAGAAGTTCCAACAGCCATATTTGCCAAAACTTAAAAGTTATTGCAGAGACAATTAGTGTTCTAGCATTTACTCGTCACTCTTGGTTCCTTTTTATTTATTTATTTAGACATAGTTTTGCTCTGTTGCCCAGGCTGGAGTGCAGTGGCATGATCATGACTCACTGCAGAATCGACCTCCCAGAGTCAAGCCATCCTCCCACCTTGGCTCCCAAGTAGCTGGGACTATAGACATGTGCCACTATGCCTGGCTAATTTTTATATATTTTTTGTTTTTTATAGAGATGTTGCCCAGGCTGGCCATGGACTCCTGGGCTCAAGCAATCGTCCCTTCTTGGCCTCCCAAAGTGCTGGGATTACAGGCATAAGCCACTGTGCCCAGCCAACAATTAGTTTTTTTAAAACTGGCCAAAATGGCCTTGATCAACCTTGGAAGACCATCATTTTGAGTAATTTGTAGTGGGGATACGAAATCCTACCTGGTCAGGTTGTCCTAAGGCTCCAATGAAACAACGTCAGAAAGTGTCCATGCCAAGAAGATGGCATGCAGAAGTGAGCCACTTACCTGGAGAGCAGGCCTAGCTGACACCTACAGCCCAATGAGCCCAGCTGTGGAATCCAGGGGCTGTCAGAACGGGCCAGGTTGTACTTCCAGCCACACCCTCTGGCCAGACACAGGGAAGTGACAACCATCTTTTAAAATCAAAAACCACTAATTTATGAACAGGGGGGATATCATTCCCTAAGCGACTTTTGGAATGTGTGTGGGTACGCTGGTTGTCATAATGATTGTGGTGTCTTACTGGGGAAATAGTAGGCAGGGTACTAAGAATGCTGACTGTTGCGAAATGTTCAGGCAACAAAATGCAGACTTTCCTACATCCCCCAGGCCTCAGAGCATCCTATCAGACAGTCAGATGGGGAAAAAGCTGTTTAAAATGCACTGAGCTAGGATTAATTCCATTTACCCTTAAATATTTTTTTCTGCATAGTTTTAGTATTTGCTGGATTTTCCAAGAATATCAAGTGGAGGTAAACTGAAGGAAGAGTTTATTTCGTTCTGAACTTCAACAAGTGTTATCTGCCATTTTAGAATAATATCCAGTTCATTGGTACAAGGACATAATGTCAGTCTGTACTTGTAGCTGTTGCATTTGGGGTGATTCTGTATACGTATACAAAAATATTTATTTAGCATGTATTTCAAAATGTGCAGAGAAATAGCAAAAAATATACCAACAATGTTTAGTTGACTTCTATCTCACGGCTTTTAAATCTCAATTCATTTATTCTAAGTAAATGTAAGTATCTGAAAACTTCATTATGTCTTCAAATATAGTTGTATATTTACATGGCAAAAATGGATTCTTTTATTAGAAATTATTTTTATTTTACCCTTATATTATATTGACTTTTTAAAAAACATAGTAGGTGTTGGGGTAGGTTAAACACTTATTAATTATATTTCTGGATGGTAGAAAAGGTTTTATAAAATGTTTTCTGAGGCCAGGCACAGGCGCTCACTTGCAATCCCAGGACTTTGAGTGGCAAATGTGGGAGGATTATGTGAAGCCAGGAGTTCAAGGTCAGCTTTGGCATACATGTTGAAACTGTCTCTACAAAACATTAAAAAACAAAAACAAAAAAAACAGCTGAGCCCGATGGCACATGCCTATAGTCCCAGCTACTTGGAAGTCTGAGGCAGGAGAATCACTTGAGGGCAAGAGTTCAAGGCTGCAGTGAGCCATGATCACATCACTGCACTCCAGCCTGGGTAATAGTACGAGACCCTGTTTCAAACAAACCACACATAAACCAATAAATAAAACATTTTACAGATCCAAAAGAGCAAACCTAAACTGTTCACTCCAAACAGTCCATTTATACCCCAAAGTTTTCAGCCTAGTGGAGAAAAAGACATGTCCTGTATGCTCCTTCAATTGTTATCAGTTTAAAGCTGGCTTCATAAAATGAGTTAAAAAGTTTTCATTCCCCCTCTATTTTCTAAAATAATTTATAAAAGATTAGTGGTAGTTTTTCTTACATTTTAAAATAAATTCACAAAATAAGAAAAAAAAATAAGATTTGCTTTAGACATATTTTTACAAGTGACCTTATAAAGAGTTTTACCTTTTCATGGGTTACATTTCCAGAGCTGGTGCTGTAGGTCACAACTCTATAATCGGTTGCATACTGTGGTGAAGAGGAAGAAAAACTCACTGTTAGTGCACAGGTGAAGACCGACCTAGAGAAGCCAAGGGCACTCCCGCGCTCTCGCTACTTCTGTCACTGTTCACACCGAGTGTGCTGGGCATTCCCCACCCGGTGGGCCTGACAAGAGCCTCTGAGAACTGTACAAAAGCTACATTAGGACCAAGCCAGCAGGTACTTCAAGAGACCTCCTGCCAAGGAAGCAGGGAGAATTTCCTTATGTTCTTTGGGCAATGCTTTGGAAAAGAAGGGCTGCACAATTTTATGCTGATAGTTTGATATTTCCTCAGCCTTATACGTCATGTTATTTGAATAACCTTGGTGCTAAATAATGCCAAGGTTGATATTTCATTGTGTCATTTTATTTTCATTCATTTATTTATGCCCCACTTTCTTCTAGAACTTACTTGAGCATGACTGCTTCTACTGTCTGTTTCTAATCTGGCTTGAGCCTCCACTCTTGAAAGTCAGGGATGTGAGGCAAGACAGTGTCTGCGAGCTGAGCGTCTTTGGGGGCCTCACTTATCAGAAGTGAGACATCTCTCCAGCTGTAGTGCCCTGGTTGATTTCACATGCTTCTGCATGGTGCACACAGGTGTCTCCCTGTGGCAGTATGTACTAACAAGTGGAATCTGTTGGAATGCAGTCCTTCCTGAACCCTTCTAAGGGCACCTGGCCCCTGAACTGTTGGCAGGAGCCCATTAGGAAGTACAGACTCACAGGCCTGCTTTCTGCCTACCCTTGCTGGGCTCTGGCTTCTCTCAGCTTTGATTTATCAGTGTTGCAGAAAGGCAGAGGTATTCAAACAAGCCCACACATCTGCTCTGTGATAGGCACTAAGAAAAGCCCCATACACCTCTATTTTTTTCCTACCTCACAATATATATACAAGTTACTCCTGTGCTTATAAGCAGATCAAAAAACAAAACAAAACAAAAATGAGAGGTTGTAAGTAGAAACAGAAAAGGCTTTGCTTATAAAAAGCAATCAGATTAGACCATATAATCTAGACCTTTATATTCCTTCTCTGTGTAAAGAATGGCCACAGGAATGTTACAGCATTGCTAACACAGAGGGGGAAACCAGAAACAACTGGAACATCCATCAGTGGGGGACTGAGAGAGGAGAATTATGTTATGCTCTTACAATGGATGGAATACTCTACAGCCATGGCGTTATGCAGAAGGGTATCTACTGACAGGAGAAAATATTCACAATATGCTGCCTTAAAAAAGCAGCAGACTATGAAGCAACATGTGTAGTGTGTGTACATACTATGTACGCTTATCTTTTATTATTTATTGTTTTGAGACAGAGTTACACTCTTGTTGCCCAGGCTGGAGTGCAATGGTGCACTCACTGCAGCTCACTGCAAATTCTGCCTCCCTGGCTCAAGCAATTCTCCTACCTCAGCCTCCCAAGTAGTTGAGATTACAGGTATGTGCGGCCCACCTGGCTAATTTTTTGTATTTTTAGTAGAGATGGGGTTTCTCCATGTTGGTTAGGCTGGTCTTGAACTCCTGACCTCAGGTGATCTGCTCACCTTGGCCTCCCAAAGTGTTGGGATTACAGGTGTGAGTCACTGTGCCCACCCTATTTATTTATTTGAGACAGAGTCTCACTCTGTCACCCAGGTTGTAGTACAGTGGTATGATCTCAGCTCACTGCAACCTCCACCTCCTGGGTTCAAGCAATTCTTCTGCTTCAGCCTCCTGAGTGGCTGGGATTACAGGCACACCACCATGCCCAGCTAAATTTTATATTTTTAATGGAGATGGGGTTTCACTGTGTTGGCCAGGCTGGTCTTGAACTTCTAACTTCAAGTGATCCACTGGTCTTGGCCTCCCAAAGTGCTGTGATTATAGGCATGAGCCACGGCATCCAGCCTGTATGCTTATTTTAAAAATGTATGTGTATACACGCATAGAAAAAACATATCTGGAGAAGGTATACCAAAAGAATGGGTAGCTCTAGGCAGTGACTATGGATGATTTTTTTTTCTTACACTTCTTTGTATTTTAGCTTTTTTTTGCAATGAGCACATATTATCTTTATAGTCAGAAGAAAAGATAGAAGTATATATTTTTAAAGTCTGCAATATTTAAGACATCCCAAAATGTGATTTAAGGGTATTTCTTAAATAACGTAAAAAAATTTTGGAACCAGTGGTACATTTTGGAAAGTTTTGTTTGTTCAGTGTTTATTTATTTTGTTGTTGTTGTTGTTGTTTTAACTATAGGCACCCATTTATAAAAGTTTCGGCCAGGCCAGGAGCCTGTAATCTCAGCACTTTGGGAAGCTGAGGTGGGTAGATCATGAGGTCAAGAGATCAAGACCATCCTGGCCAACATGGTGAAACCTAGTCTTTAATAAAAATACAAAAAATTAGCTGGGCATTGTGGCATGTGCCTGTAATCCCAGCTATTCAGGAGTCTGAGGTAGGAGGATCACTTGAACCCGGGAGGTGGAGGTTGCAGTGAGCCAAGATCATGTCACTGCACTCCAGCTTGGCAATAGAGTGAGACACCATCTGAAAAAAAAAAGTTTAGGCCAATGTTACCAAGTTTTAACACCATCATCTCTCCCTGTTCTACCTTACCTAACTCTATAGCAATAATTTATACATTTCTTCCATCAAAGTTTCACATTGTTAGGAAAGTATCAAGCCTTACCGTGCGGAAAGCTGCAACCACAAGATTTGAGGGAAACAGGTTTCTGTTGGAAAAGAAAGCATACTGTTAGTATTCTTTTAAAACAATTTTGTAGAGGTGGGGTCCCTGTTGCCCAGGCTGGAGTGCAGTGGTGTGCTCTTAGCTCACTGCAACCTTGAATTTTGGGCTCAAGTAATCTTCCTGCCTCAGCCTCCCAAAGTGTTGAGGCTACAGGCGTGAGCCATGGCACCTGGCTAGATCAGTATTCTTAAAATTTGGTATGCAAAGTATCTGCTTTGAGATGTCAACTTCTAAAAGCCTAACACAGTGTTCTCTCTCCACCCGCAGCTGAGGCTGCATCTTTTGCTTGATTTAAGCACCCTGACTGTGCCTGTGCTGCTGGGCCACAGTAGATACTTTGAGGACACTGATTTTCATCTCCAACTCTCTCATGGTACTCCCTGATAGCTGGGCTTAACTGTGTCCATCCAAGTCTATAACTGCATTGCTTTCCTCTCACCTAGAGTTTAGGCACCATTGCAGGGGTTTGCAATGTCGGGGTGCTGCCCACTAGTAAAATCCAAGGGCATTTTTGTTATTGCAAAATTGAGGCATTCCTAAATTGAGGGGAGTGTGTGGGGGGAAATGCCGGGTCCCACACATTTGTCCTGTTAAATGCAGTAGAGACCTCTGTCATGAATCGTCTCAAGGTCCTCTTGGCTTTCCAGTGTCCTGCCTGACATATCTGTGGATAAAAACCTATCTATAACTACACAAGACTAAACTAATTCCAAAAGAAGGTTTTGTTTTTCACAATTTGAACATTCACTGAATTTTTCGGAAATGTAACTACTTGTAAGTTATGGGGTGACTTTTGTTTTGTTCAGAATGTTTCCAAACACTATCTACCTTCCTGGAAAGTCACACCGCCAGAGCAAACTGCAGAATCCGCGCCCTAATTCCACACCCAGTGTCAAGTAACAGTCTGCATTTATAACTATCTCATTAGCAGTGATTCTAAGTTTAGGAGCCAGCATTCAGCCACTTTATTTTAGAGCATGTATATATTGAAACACATTGTTTTTATTATATTAATTTTGCTTTTTATATTACAGTTACTTCATATTGATATTTTAAAATTATGTGGGCAAGGACATTTTATTTATGGATTCCATTTCAGAATTAAGGATATTATAAACATTTATTATAAAAGGAGGGCAATCAAGCTAATGGAGTTCAAAATCTATTTACGCAAATAGTTTTACTGAGGGCCTAGGGTCTGCATAGGATGCTGGTCTTGATATACAAGAAATTAGATTCCAGCTGACAGTCCATGTGTTCTCACTTCCTGCAAGAACAGTAAGTCTAGAAGGGCAAAAGACTCTGGATCATTCTTTTCAATTTGTGTCAAACTTATCCACTAATTCTTACTTCTGTAAGAAGCTGGGTTGTTCACCAGGATCTCCAGGCAACCATTTGCAGTGCATTGGGTTTCAGAGGTAGGCAGGTCTGGCTGCAACCCAGCTGTCACAGGTAGAGTCTAAGGTGGTTTCCTGGTATTCACACTTGGGGTGATCCCTTTAGTATGGTCAGGCCTATGACTTGCTTCTAATGAACCAATAAATGCAGCAAAGGTGATGGGATGTCACATCCACGATTTGGTTACATAAGGTTGTAGCTTCCACTGTGCTAGCTGACTCTTCTTGTCTTCTGCTTGCAAGCTTTGATGAAGCAAGCTGCTATGTTGGAAAGGCCCTCGAGACTAGAAATAGCAGGTGGTCTCCAGCCAATAGCCAACTGAGGCGCCCAGTCCAAACTTCAAGGAACTGAATTCTGCCAACATCAGCATGACCTCAGAGGTGAATCCCTCCCCAGGTGGACATTCAAGTAAGAACCTAGCTCTGACCAATACCTCAATTGCAGCCTTGTAAAAGACTCTGAAGCAGAGGACCCAGCCAAACTATGCTAAGATTCCTGACCCTAGAGAGATTGTGGGATAATACATGTGTGAGATTTTAAGCTGCTAAATGTATAGTAGTTTGTTATGTAGCAATAGGTAACTAATATACCAGCCAACAAAGTTAACAAGATGCAAAAATCACTGCATTAGAACACTTAGGGTGCTCTCGCAGGACAGCCAGCATATAGAGCCTGTGACATAGTATTTCCCAAACTTGTCTATAAAACCTGACTGCTTTTAGCATATTTAGAGGATACCAGAGTACATGACTGCATTTAAGCAGATAAAAAATAATCTTTAGCTGAATTAAATTATTGCAAAACTATGACCAGAAGTTTAATTCTTATCACAGCTAGATTTACTTTTTAAAAAGTAGAAACAGACCAGCAACTTTTTGGCTAGTTTTCACAGTATAGATGAATAACAACTTACATTTGCTACAATTTCCATTACAAAGCAACTTTCTTACATATTTCATTCTTGGGGCTACGTTTGCCATCTCATTTCCATTTTCTGTCCTAGTCAGAAGCAGCAAGGGGCCCTGTGCCACGGTCTCTCTGTTCTGTATCCACCACACAACAATCCTTAGTAGTTGCCAGACTGAGGTGTGCCAAGGTTCTCTCTCCCTGAGGACTGGGAAGTTCAGAAAAGAGCTGGGTAGAAGCCCTCCACTTTCCTCATGGGAACAATTTTCCCGGGAAATACCTCACATCCTTCAGGGATTAGCTATTTTCTCAGCTGGTGCAAACACAGCCTTTCCCACAGCCTTGACATGCATTCTCTTCTAAACAGCACAACACTATTTGTTTAATTCTGTGTATCTGTCCTGCCTGATCTCTTCATACAAGCAATAACCCAGTACTATCTCATCCAGAACGGGTTCTGACCTTAACCCAGAACGTGTACACCCAACAGCAACTGGCACACCGACCTGTTTTCAGACTATCTACAGTATCTACTGTACATAATCCAATGGGAACAGAGGGGTCCAGAGGCAAACCAGCAACTCCTGCCCCTCCCCCCAAAATCAAGTTCCTAAGAACATGATGTGTTTTGACAGTTTCTGATAAAGTTAAACATGTATCTACCACAGGACTCAGCAATTCCATTCCTAGATTTTTTTTTTTTTTTTGGAGACAGAGTCTTGCTCTGTTGCCCAGGTTGCAGTGGATCTCTGCTCAATGCAGCCTCTGCTTCTCGGGTTCAAGTGATTCTCATGCCTCAGCGTCCCAAGTAGCTGGGACTAGAGGCATGTGCCACCATGTCTGGCTAATTTTTTTATTTTTAGTGCAGAAAGGGTTTCACCATGTTGGTTAGGATGGTCTGAAACTCCTGACCTCATGTGATCTGCCTGCCTCGGCCTCCCAAAGTGCTAAGATTACAGGCATGAGCCATCATGCCTGGCCCACTCCTAGATATTTACCTAAGAAATATAAAAATATATGACTGCAAAAAGGGCCTGTATGCATAATAGCATTATTCATAATAGTCCAAAACCCAGATGTCCAACAGATGAATGGATAAACTGATTATGAAAAATCCATACAACGGAATACCACTTGGTAATCAAAAGTGATATACACAACAATGGATAATCTCAGCAACACTGCACTGAGCAAAACAAGACTGACAAAGAAAAGTACATAATAAATGATTCCATTGATATGAAACTCTAGAAAAAGCAAAACTAATATATAGTGATAAAAAGCAGGTCAGCCGCCTGAGGCCAGGGGTGGAGAATGAGGATCACTGAGAGTCACAGGTGATGGAAATGTTCACTATCTTGGATTGTGGTGGTGGTTATATGAATTATCCATTTGTCAAAACTCATTGAACTGTCTTTAAAGTGGGTGCATTTATTGTACCTAAATCATACCTTAAAATTGTTTAAAAATATTAAAAAAGTATGGTAATAACTGATAGAGATTGTCCCACTAAAAAAATATGTACATTCAATGGGAGGGCTGAACTTTTTTTAGATTATACAGCTCACTTCTCAGGTGACAATCCTGGTAAAGACTCTCCTGGGGGTCAGTGAGCTGAAGCACCCATAGAAAGTGTCCTCCTTCACTTTCATCTTCTGGTTTCCACAGATCAGGAACAGGAGCAGTTCCCTCCTGCTGTCACCAAGGGCAAAAAGACAAGACTGCCAGAATAAAGCAAAATGCTTCTCTGTCCTCTACTTTCCCTCTCTCAATTGGTGTTCAGACACAGATGCTGTAGTAAACTCTGGTTCTCACTCCTGAGCTCTCTTCTAATCTGGGATCAGCTGCCTCTTGGGCAAACAGTTTTGCTTCCCAGAGCTCTGTCTTCAGGCACTTTTCCCAACTCCTCACATTCACCCAGTAGCTTCATGGGCTTTTGAAATCAGAGACATTGAGCAGGAAGGGATTTTAGAGGTGATCCAGTTGCATCCCCTCATTTAGCACATAGAGACACCAATGCCCAGTCACTGAGCTGATACATCTCCCATCTCTGCTCCATCTAGGCTAGCACCATCCAACTGAAATTGTGCAGTCCAACATGGCAGCAATGCAGCTATAGAGCACCTGAAATGTGGCTAGTGCTACCAAGGAACTGTTTTTTTTCTTTTTAATTTCGTTTTGTTTTGTTTTGAGATGGAGTTTTGCACTGTTGCCCAGGCTGGAATGCAATGGTGCAATCTCGGCTCACTGCAACTTCCGCCTCCTGGGTTCAAATGATTCTCCTGCCTCAGCCCCCAGAGTAGCTGGAATTACAGGCGCCTGCCACCATGCCCAGTTAATTTTTGCATTTTTAGTAGAGATGAGGTTTCACCATGTTGGCCAGGCTGGTCTCAAACTTCTGACCTCATGATCCACCTGCCTCGGCCTCCCAAAGTGCTGGGATTACAGGTGTGAGCCACCACGCCCAGTCCTCAAGGAATTGATTTTTAACTTTTATTTACATTTGAACTAATTTGAAATAGCCACACGTGGCTAGTGTCTATCATATTGGACAGCCCAGATGTAGAGTCTGAAATCCAGAGTCCAGAAGTCAGGAGGCCCAATGGTCGTCCTGTGTTCAGTTCTGCACATCACCCAATTTCACTGGGTGTTAGGATGCTTCTAAGCACTGAGCTCTTC